TATTTTTGGGGGCCCCCTATCATGCTTTTTTTGCAAAAAAAAAGAAAATGAGAAAGTCGCCCGGGGGGGCGCTATAGTCCCTATCGCCCCCCTGGATCCGCCCCTGCTAGGAGGCCTTGTATGTGAACTAGGAAGCCCTCTGTGATAGCTAGGAGGCCCTCTGTGCAGATGCGAGCGCAGGCCCTCAGTACAGACTTGGAGACCCTTTGTGTGGATGCGAGTGGAGGCCCTCTGTGGAGATTAAGAGGTCCTGTGTTGGCGAAGAGGATATCTGTGCAGGCTTGGAGTCCCTCTGTGCAGGATAGGAGACCTTCTGTGTGAGTTAGGAGGCCCTCTGTGTTGGCTAGGAGGCCCTTTGTTCGGATGCGAGTGGAGGCCTCTGTGTAGGCTAAGAGATTTTGTGTTTGTTAGGACATCTGTGCAGGCTTGGAGGCCCTCTATGCAGGTTAGGAGGCCCTGTAAAAGTGGTCATCTCTGTGAGTATAAGAGACCTCCAAGTTATGAAAAGCTTTACCAATCTTCTAACAAAGAAGTCTTCTCAGCTAGTCTTCTAAGAAATAACTAAGTGGGTAGGTTAAAAAAAAACTCATCGGATTTCGGCCACTTTATTTTCAGGAGGCCCCCTTTTCAGCTTTTTAACTTTTTATTTTATTTTTGAAAAAAATCGGCCAAGGGGGGGGGGGGGCCATGGCCCCCATGCCCCCCCCCCTTGTATCCGCGCCTGGGTAGAGTAATGAAATTGTCTTTTAATTCGGATCAGTTGATGACCATCATGAACTTCTCAAGTAAGGGCATGACCTTGATCTGCGGTCACATTTTGAAGTTGAACTTTTTAATGGAAATTATAGGTGTTAACATTCGATGCATGTTAACGAGAGAATGATGACAAAGTAAATGTCTCATAATTTTTCTCACCAAAGTTCTTGGAAAAATTCTTAGCAATTAGCAAAACTATTTTGGTAAAATGCGACCATTTAGATGGCTTCACCCTCTGCTCTGTTGCCAAACTTGACATGAGGCATTGAGGTCAAATCTTAAAAGCGAAAGCGTTTTGAAAGGCCTATCGAATGAGTTGTTCCGCGAAGCTCTAGCTCTTTGGTTCACGAGTTATACGGTAACGGTTATTTGTGAAAATATAAAAACAAGAATTTTTTGTCGTAATCTTGTCTTTGTGTTTATCATAATTTTATCATAATTTCATCTTCAATGACCTCAGCGATGGCCTAATCGAAAAAGACCTCTACGATTCTGAAGCATCCTACAGCGATCTGTTGCTTTTCTCGTCTTTCTAGCCTTCTTAAATTATGATCGGGTTTGGCCGATACGCCCCCCCCCATGGCTGATTGCACGCGTTAGAGAGCTATCGAACCCACTTTCAGCGCGCTATAGCTTTATATGTCCTCGAGTGTCGAAATAGGCGAAACTTTTCCTTCAATGAACATGATGACGTGGGCTTTGGTCTGAACTGCAACATGACTGAAGTAATTTCTCCATGATTTTCGACGCTCTTTAGAAAGCTGCCTACCACCGCACTTGTCGCTACGTGACCCTGGAGTCGGGTTAGAAGGGAATATTCAAACACCCCTCAGCGACGTAAAACTGGAAAGCCTGGGGCCCTGCTCTGCGGGGCGCGGTCGAGCTAGGCTAGAGCCAGTTCGGGATGTTTACAAGCCCACGTAAAGCCCTCAAAAATCTGCATAGAGTACAGGCCTTCCAAGACTTGGGGGTTTAGATTAGTGATGTCAATTACGGAAAATCGGAATACCGATACCAAACCAAATACTAACCAAAAGTACGGGAAAATACCGAAACCAAACCAACTTGGGAAACTGAGGGAAATACCAACTTTTTACCGATTTATTAGCCTCTTATACATTAGTGAGGGCTTATGATACCAACAAAATACCAAACACATTACGATTTAAATACCAAATACGAAGTTGGTATCGGTTTGGTATCGGTATACCAAAAAGTTGGTATCCGATTGACATCTCTAGTTTAGATATCAACAATCGACATGGTCTTTTGAGACCTGCGTGGTGGCTATCAGAGGTCGGTGGGCCCCTCAAAAGCCGGTGCAGGAGCCTCGGGTGTCAGTTTGGAGCCATCATGGACCGGTGTGAAGTCCTGATGAATACCTAGGCGTCAAACCCCTAGACGTCAGGGTGGGGCCGGGCGGTGAGGCAGGCACAGACCTGAAGAGAAGAGGAATTTTCAGATGTCGGCTTGGCATCTTAACACCGCGTGGTTCTCCTGCTCAGTGACCCGACCTGACCCCTCCCCAGACACCCACCGTGTGGTGGGGCCCTGCATGGCTGTCTCAGAGGCTGACATATCGTACTGCGGGACCTCCATGAGCCTCAAAAACCTCTATGAGCCCCCTCACGCTTGGGGTAGGCTTCCTGAAGCATAAAATCTCTGAGTCTTGAGATGGGCCCATTAGACGTGAACTGGGCCATCAATATACATGTAGGCGCGCCATTTCCATTTTGTCATTTTATGTTCCTTAGTCCACGTTTACCATTCTGCTGATTTCCTATTTTCTTCCTTGGTTTCACAGCCTTGGCACATTGCTCGCTCGGTCCCTCTGACCTGTCGAGGTCACCGGCTGACCGTAGCCTGGGGCAGGGCCCAGGAATGTAGCTGCGCCGTCGCGACCGCAGGGTCAGAAAAGTAGTAACTGGAAACTGTGATATTTGACTCGTTAATGTGTATGTTATGCCCAATAATGTGCTCAGGATTGTAAAATGTATTGTTTGATGCGAGTAGGGATCTCCTGGACATTTAAGTTGCGAATATGATAGCTGACGCGGATGAACATTTCTGAATATGGGCGGTGCCCGGCGCCCCGGCGCTGGTCGGGGGCGCGGCGCGGGTCAGTTGAGCCCCGTTGAGGCTGGTCGTCTAATGTGCCTCTGGAGACGTGTGCCTCTGGTTTCGTTAGCCGATAAGCGACTCAGGGAGCACATTTGTCGCAACGATTGCGTGCGGAGGGCCACACGGTCCAATACACCGATCCGTGACGACATCCGAGTTTCGAACTGAGTCTGGTCGGCGGCTACAGTTGCGACAAGTGCGACAACGCTTCGCGAGACGACGGAGTGACGTCATCTCGTCGTGGAGGACGGCACGCTACAGGAGCAGGAGCACCACACTCGTCCGTACTGGTATGGTGAGCGCCTTCGCGCTATCACGCCTGTGGTGACTCCGCTCCAGGCCATTTGCCGCGTGATCTAAGTGACGTCATAACGTCGGACAGTTGCGTCATAGACTTGGTGACGTCATGCTGAGTGGTTGGTGACGTCATACTGGATGGTTGACGTCATAGTGAGGGGTGACGTAATACCGTACTATTGTGACGTCATGACGGGGGTGACGTCATACTGAGCTTTTGACGTCATATAGCGATTGTGGCGTCATACTTAACGGAGTTCGCGTTTTGTTGGGTGTTCCGTCGGCTGTTAACGTGTTGCCGACGGTTATTGATCGTGAATGAACTGCACTCGGTGTTATATTAAGCAAACTCTAAGTTTTCACGTGATCCTGGATAATTTTCCTATTGATTTACCTCACCTGTCTGGAGACTCACCTCGGTTTCACGCGTCGTCGATAGGCGGTTTGTCCTCCGGGCAGCTCGCTGATTGTCGTAGCTGGCTCGGTCGCCTTGCGTGATTGGTTGATCAACTGCTAACTAAGTCTTGTACTTCAATTGGTCACACTTCTGTTAATCAGCTAGATGATAGTTGGGAGCCGCTTTGATTAGTTGTCATCAATCATGAATCCTCTAGAAGAGCTGAAAGTGTCGGAGTTGAAGGCGGAGTTGAAGGGAAGAGGTGCAGACACTAAGGGTTCGAAGCCGGCGCTGATGCTGCGATTAAATGAGGTTTTGGTTCAAGAAGGAATCGACGTTGCATCATTCGTTGCAGCTCGACGGGACGTTTCCGCCGAACCGAGAGCTGATGCCGCAGCCGCTGAGGTGGCTGTTCCTGATTTAGACAACACGGTCCCGGCTCCTGGACCCCTCGTCAGAGCCACATCACAGATGTCCTTGCGTAGTTCTGCCTCGCAAGTCTCCATCTCTTCGTTGCGAGCTGCGGAGTCGGCGACGAAGGCGGGACTGATGGCTCGAGCTGCCTTTCTGAAAAGGAAGCAGAAGATGGAGAAGGAAGAACTGGAGATGAAGATGCGCAAGCAGAAGATGGAGAATGAAGAACTGGAGATGAAGATGCGCATGGAGAATCTGCAGTTGGAGAGTGAGCTGGCAGAGGTGGAAGCCAGAGAACGTGCACTGATGGAAGCCGAAGAGCAAGGTTCTCAAACAAGACCAGGCGTTGCTTCGTTGCGAGCTGTCTGTCCAGCTGAGCCGAACGAGAGGACTGGACATGCAGAAGACGTTGTCGGCAGCGAGCAACCACTGGTCACTGTTCAGTCAGACGCTGGGGCTTCAGAGGCGCGTGCTGATCAGATGAACGTCAGGAAGAATCCACCTCAACCTGACCTTAACGCTTCACAGCCCGATGCTACACAGGTCATCCTGTCCCAGATCCAGCAAAGTCGTCTCCCGAGACCAGAGTTGCCAGTTTTCAAGGGTGATGTAACACAATACAGATCCTTCATCCGTGCCTTCGATAGCAGGATCGGGAGCAAGACCGACAGTGATTCGGAGCGGCTGTTCTACTTGGAGCAATACTGCGCTGGAAAACCACGGGACATCATCAGAGGATGTCTTCACATGACCGAAGATGTTGGATATCTGGAGGCTCGGCGACTGCTGGAACGAAGATATGGCGACCCAGAAACAGTCTCGTCGGCATTCGTTGACATGTTGATGGACTGGCCTCAGCTGAAGCCAGGAGATGTTGAAGGACTTGATCGTTTCTCACTGGCGCTCACCTCGTGTTTGAATGTAATGCAGAGCATTCCTCTTGGAGCCAGGGAGACTGACCATCCCCGGACGATGCGAAAAGTTGTAGAGAAGCTCCCCAGCCATCTGCAGGACTCCTGGCGGCGACGAGCTCACAAGATCCAAGAGTCTGAGAAGAGGAGGGTGAAGTTTCAAGACGTCGTCACCTTCGTCGACAGCGAGGTGCAAATCCAGACCAATCCTACGTTTGGCAGGCACCGAGAAGAACGAGTCAGAAGACAGACACACACAGTCTCAGCTACAGCAGTTGCAGGAGCGGTACAGTCCTCGAAGAGTTGTCTGTACTGTCATGGTAGTCACTTCACTGATCTGTGTGCTGAGTTGGTCAAGCTGCAATGGGAAAAACGGCGAGAGTTCGTTCGTGAGAACAGACTGTGCTTCGGATGCCTTCGAAAGGGCCACAGATTCAGTAACTGCTTCAGGAAGCTCGTCTGTGGAACTTGTAAGCGGCTGCATCCAACAGCGATGCACAAGAACGAAAGTGTTGAAGGAACTGGTCAGAACCCTTCTGATGGAAATGGTGAGCAAAACACTTCTGTGAAGAATGGACGATTGGATGCATCGCCGACTGAAGTCTCTGCTGGTACGGCAAGCTGCAGGTCGTCGGCGATGATGGCTATTCTGCCGGTGAAGATGTGGAACGCTGACTGCTCTCGTTCAGTCGTCACGCATGCGTTCTTGGATTTGGGCTCAAGCGCAACGTTTTGCACGCCGAATCTTCTGAAGGCGCTGGGCATGGAAGGAGAAACTACGGAGCTCACAATGACGACTGCAACAGCTGAGAACCAGCGGATTTCCAGCACATTGGTGAAAGGCCTGAAGATATCTGACATGGCGGGGAAGAAAGTAATGGATTTACCGCCGTCGTACACGTTGCAGAGAATTCCAGTCGATCGCCAGGATATCGCAACAGCTACGGATCTGGAGCGCTGGCCACAACTGCAAGAGGTTGTTCCCCCGGAAGTACATGCGGATATTGAACTTTTGATCGGAGCCAATTGTCCTCAGGCCCTGATACCTCTCGAAGTTCGCGCTGGTGGAGAGGGATGCCCATTTGCCATTCGTACGTCTCTTGGATGGGTGGTGTATGGACCAAGATCCCGCAGCCGGGTTTTCGATGGAAGCGCGAGAGTAAATCGTATCGAGGTACTAAGCCCAACAGATGATGAATTTGACCTTCACAGCAAATTTGTCGCGCTCTACAACCAGGACTTCGAGCATGATCTTAGTTCCACAGACGTTGGCTTCTCCATTGAAGATCGAGCGTGGATGAAGATCGTGGAGGGCGGAGTCCGTCACCTGGATGGTCGTTACCAGATACCCCTGCCACTGAAAAGCGAGATCATCCTGCCGGACAACAAACAGCAAGCAGAGAGACGAGCAGAGCAGCTGAAAAGGAAAATGCTCAAGAGCCAGAAGTATCTCCAAGACTACAAAACATTTGTCAATGAGTTAATCGAGAAAAACTACGCAGAACGTGTCAAGAACGAGCAGATCGACATGGCAGAGGGACGTACCTGGTATATACCGCATCATGGTGTATATCATCCGATGAAACCTGAAAAGATTCGTGTCGTCTACGATTGCTCTGCAACTTACCAGGGCATGTCGCTCAACAGTCGGCTGCTGCAAGGACCAAATCTGACGAGTTCTCTCTTGGGCGTGTTGCTGAGGTTTCGAGAGGGACCGGTAGCAGTCATGGCTGATATTGAAAAAATGTTCTATCAGGTGAGGGTTCCGGAGGATGACAGAAGTTTGCTCAGATTTTTATGGTGGCCGAATGGTGACACAGAACGGGAACTGGAAGTGTATCAGATGAATGTGCACCTCTTCGGTGCGATCAGTTCTCCGTCTTGTGCAAACTTCGCGCTACGGAGGACAGCGCAGGACTTCGGAGATAAGTTTGATGCTGACGTCATAGACAGTATTCAACGCTCGTTCTATGTTGATGATTTCATGAAGACAGGATCTACGGCTGATGAGGTGTTGAGGATTGCAAGAGGAGTCAGAGACTGCTGTGCGTTGGGAGGATTCCGACTGACCAGCTTCGTCAGTAACTGCCCTGACGTCATGTTCTGTTTCCCGGAATCTGAGCGCGTGACACACAAGAAGTTTGATCTGACCGGCCACGATCTTTCTGCGCAGACGCTAAGAGCTTTGGGTGTTCAGTGGGACGTATCTGAAGATACTCTTAGCTTCCGTGTTGATGTCAGGAGGGGTCCGACAACCAGGAGAGGCATTCTTTCTACAGCAAGTGCCGTTTATGATCCGCTAGGGTTCGGAGCTCCTTTCGTCATGTCAGCCAAAATCCTGTTGCAAGATCTCTGCAGGCTGAAGTTGGGATGGGACGACCCGGTTCCAGATGCTCACCTGAGAAGATGGGATCAGTGGTGCAAAGAACTGAGCCTTCTGCGGGAGTTCAGCGTGCCAAGAAGTGTGACTGCACCAGACGCGGTGGTGAATTGCCAACTTCACATGTTTGCTGATGCAAGCGAAGCTGGCTACGGTGCAGTAGGCTACACCAGGGTGACTGACAGCACAGGGACAGTTCGCACTTCGCTTCTGATGAGCAAGGCCAGAGTAGCGCCGCTGAAGACTTCTTCAATCCCTCGACTAGAGCTGGCCGCTGCGACGCTAGCTGTGCAGTTGAGCACACAGATACTTACCGAACTTGACCTGAAAGTTGACGAAGTGCATTTTTGGACGGACAGTGTGTCCACGCTTCGCTACATCCACAATACCACTTCTCGTTTCCAGACATTTGTGTCCAACAGGCTTTCCGTCATCCATGATGGTTCTGAGCCCGGTCAGTGGAAGTACGTGCCGTCTGCACTGAACCCGGCGGATGCTCTCTCCCGTGGACAGTCGGCACGCGAGTTTCTTCAATCGGTATGGGCTACTGGCCCAGCGTTCCTCGGCGCAGAAGCAGCTGAATGGCCTGACCAGAAGCATGTGATCCAACGCCATGAAGATGTTGAAGATCTTGAGGTAAAGAGAGGCTTGGGGACTCTCTCGGTAGCAGCTGAGTGTGACAGTACTTCGAAGTTGTTGAACAGCGTATCTGACTGGCACAAGCTCAAGAGGCACGTGGCGTGGTGGCTTCGGCTGAAGTGCATGCTGTGGAAGCGGTTGATGAACAGAGGTGATTGTGATGCCGAGGTAGCGGGTCAGCTCTCGCGGGTCAGCTCTCGCTTGACCGTTCAAGAACTTGATGATGCAGAAGTGGCGATTGTGCAGTACACTCAGAAGAAGGCCTTTCCAGAAGAACTCAGCTCCCGTTTTGTCAAGAAATCCAGCTCGATTTATCGTCTGAACCCCTGCATGATTGATGGCGTTCTCAGGGTTGGCGGACGTCTCAGCAACGCAGCTATCTCGGACGCAGCCAAACACCAGATGATCCTGCCGAAGAATGGTCATGTCACGGACATCATCATCAGAGACATGCATGAGAAGAAAGGTCACTCAGGACGTGAACATGTTCTCGCTGCACTGCGCGAAAGGTATTGGGTGGTTAACGGCAATGCAGCCGTTCGCAGAGTCCTGTCAAAATGTGTCAGATGCCGACGAGTTCAGGGCCCGATGGTGACTCAACAAATGTCTGACTTACCTGAAGACAGGACGACTCCTCAAGGCGGTGCCTTCAGTCGAGTGGGCATCGACTACTTTGGCCCGTTCCACGTGAAGGTTGGACGTCAGCGGCACAAGCGGTTTTGTGTACTCTTCACTTGCCTGGCGACGCATGCCATTCACACCGAAGTTTGTGAAAGTCTGGACACTAGCTCGTTTCTGAACGCGTTACGTAGATTTCAGGCTAGAAGGGGACAGGTGACGTTCATTCGGTCAGACAATGGCACCAATTTCGTCGGCGCCGAACGTGAGCTTCGTGAGGAGTTTGCCAAGCTGCGTGAGAGCCAGGTGCACAACTTCTTGCTGAAACGAGGAGTCGAGTGGCAGTTTACTCCTCCCGGTGCATCGGCACAGGGTGGTGTTTGGGAGAGGCAGATCCGGAGTGTCAGAAAAGTGCTGAACGCTGTTTTGAGGGAGCAGTCCCTGACTGATGAGTCTCTTCGTACCCTGCTCTGCGAGGTCGAGGCAGTCCTCAACAGCAAGCCGCTGACGACTGTCTCCAGCGATCCGTCCGATCTTCAGCCGCTCACGCCAAACGATTTGCTGTTGTTGCGGGGAGGACCGATTCCAGACGGCGTGTTCTGTGAACGAGATTGCTTTGCGGGAAAACGGTGGAAACAAGTCCAGTTCTTGGCTGATGTTTTTTGGAAGCGCTGGGTAAAAGAATATCTGCCGCTGCTTCAAATTCGTCAGAAGTGGAACAAGGTTCAGAGGAATTTGCAAGTTGATGATGTGGTACTGGTTGCTGATATGAACTCTCCACGCTGTCACTGGCCTTTGGGACGAGTCACCGAGGTTTTCCCAGATAGAAAGGGTTTTGTGCGCTCTGTGATAGTCCGTACCACTACATCTACCCTGAAGAGACCGATCTCCAAGCTGGTGCTGGTGCTGGAGAGCGAGACCACCGACATTGAGAGCGTGTGAGACCACGAGCATGGCAGACTATCGCACGTGGTGACGTGATTTTCATATCAATTCCAGAAGACTAGTTTGTGTTGATTGATAGCTGTATTTCCAGAAGACTGAACTGGGGATTGACTGCAAGCGGTTGGCGATGAAGGCTCCAATTGCGCTTAGCACGTTTGGTCTGTTGAACCTGGAAGGTTCAAGGGTGGGGGTGTAGGCGCGCCATTTCCATTTTGTCATTTTATGTTCCTTAGTCCACGTTTACCATTCTGCTGATTTCCTATTTTCTTCCTTGGTTTCACAGCCTTGGCACATTGCTCGCTCGGTCCCTCTGACCTGTCGAGGTCACTGGCCGACCGTAGCCTGGGGCAGGGCCCAGGAATGTAGCTGCGCCGTCGCGACCGCAGGGTCAGAAAAGTAGTAACTGGAAACTGTGATATTTGACTCGTTAATGTGTATGTTATGCCCAATAATGTGCTCAGGATTGTAAAATGTATTGTTTGATGCGAGTAGGGATCTCCTGGACATTTAAGTTGCGAATATGATAGCTGACGCGGATGAACATTTCTGAATATGGGCGGTGCCCGGCGCCCCGGCGCTGGTCGGGGGCGCGGCGCGGGTCAGTTGAGCCCCGTTGAGGCTGGTCGTCTAATGTGCCTCTGGAGACGTGTGCCTCTGGTTTCGTTAGCCGATAAGCGACTCAGGGAGCACATTTGTCGGTACGTAACTAAATGTCGCGGTAGCACAATCATGTAATCAAGTGCTTTCGATATAATTATACTGTTTCGTATATGCATATTCAAGTGCATGAATGGACGCGTAGCAATGTACCTGGTTGCCTTTATCAAGTTATTTATTTATGCGTGTGTTATGTTCCCCCTCGCCTGTCCCTTTTATTTCCGTCACGTTTGTTTGCGCTCGTTTATGTTTATTTGTGCAATGCTTAACTTAGGGCCGTTGTTTTACAGCAACGATTGCGTGCGGAGGGCCACACGGTCCAATACACCGATCCGTGACGACATCCGAGTTTCGAACTGAGTCTGGTCGGCGGCTACAATACATGTGGTGAGTTGACCTATATCAAACATGATATCGGCTCAATCAGGATTGGGATAGGCCCTCTCAGACCCAGACCAGGCACGGAGTACGGACCCTCCCACACATAGGATGATCCTTTCATTCCTGGGATGAGTCTTCTCAGGTCTGAAATGGGCCCCTCTCAGGCCTGAAGTGGACCCTCTCAGGCCTTAAATAGGTCCTCTAGGGCCTGAAATGGGCCCTCTCAGGCCTGACATTAGCCCTCTCAGACCTGAAATGGGCCCCTCTCAGGCCTCAAATAGGACCTCAAGGGCCTGAAATGGGCCCTCTCAGGCCTGACATTAGCCCTCTCAGACCTGAAATGGGCCCTCAGACCTGAAATGGGCCCTCAGACCTGAAATGGGCCCCCTCAGCCCGTAAATGGTCCCTATCATGTCGAAAAAGGGCCCCTGGCCCCTCATACCGTAACTGGGCCCTCTCAGGTCTGAAATGGTGCCTCTTATGCCTGAAATGGGCCCTCTCTGGCCTCAAACGGGCCCTCTCTGGCCTAAAACAGGCCCTCTCTGGCCTAAAACAGGCCCTCTAGGGCATGAAATGAGCCCTCTCAAGCTTGAAATGGCCCCCTCAGGCCAAAAATGGGCCCCTCTCAGGCCTGAAATGGGCCCCTCTCAGGCCTGAAATGGGCCCTATCAGGCCTCAAGCATGCCATCTAGGGCCTGAAATGGACCCCTTCAAGCCTGAAATGGGCCCTCTCAGGCCTGAAATGGCCCCTCTCAAGCCTCAAACAGGCCCTCTAGGGCCTGAATTGGGCCCTCTCAAGCTTCAACTGGGCCCCTTCAGGCCTGAAATGGGCCCTCACATACCTGAAATGGACCCTCTCAGGCCTGAAATGGCCCTTTCATGCCATGGAACGGGCCCTCCTAGGCCTTGGATTAGTTCAATCGGGCCTTGGATCACCCCTTAAATCATAATATGGGACTATATATCCTAAGGGGGGGGGGGGCTATCAGGCCTGAAGACTGTTTTTCAGTCCTATGACGGACCTTGACATTAGTGATAAAAAGATTGTCAGGCTGCATAACGTTACAGTTCGAATCGACGGTGGGCCCCTAGGATAAGAGACGGGGGTGAGATCTCACCCCTTTCACCCCCCCTGGCTGCGCCACTGCTGAGCGCACCGGCCAAGTTGCCCCGCTAGTCCCGGCCAAATGACCCCACATTGCCATTCTGAAAATTTTTGTCTATAAAATCGTCATGGCTGTACAGAGCTAGATGAAATTGCTCTTGGAACCGCTGAACATCCTCAAAAATGGCGCTATAATGTTGGAATTCGCTTTCAGCCCAAATATTAGGATTAACATCAAAATTTCTTTGATGTTAATCCTGTACCGTCACTACATAGCAACACGCGCAGTGGTCGGGGGGGGGGGGGCGGATTTCGCCCACCCCTCCTGTTTTTCACCAATAACTCGCGCCGCAAACATAATATTAATGTGAAATTTCGGCTATCTGTCCAAAATGGAATTGCGGATCTTCTCGTGCAAGAAATAAGAAAATCGGTTCACAACTTTTCTAGTAATAGCGGTGTAAAGTCAAACATCCTGCCGCCGCGGCGGCCGGCGCTAGCCGTTACGCGCCGCCTGAATTGTAGACTGTGCCGGGGCGGGACGGTTCTGTCTTTACATCGCGCTCCCACTGGCGGATCCAGGGGGGCCACGGGGGCCATGGCCCCCCCCCAAAGGCCTAAAGTGGCCTGTTTGCCCCCCCCCCCAAAACGTAAGAAAAATTGCTAAGAAAATATACCTTGATGGAGGTTTTTAGCCACTTGGTGAAGTAAAGCTTTCCACAGCATAATATGGAAGCAATATGGTAGCAGTGAGGGTCAGTCAAAAGTTGCGCGAGTGGAGTCGACCTTCAAAAAAGACTTGTTGGCACGTGTTTATGGCGCGGTAGCTGGGAGTTGGCGGTGTTTCGCGTGGTGTGGCATCACTGGCGGATCCGGGGGGGGGGGGGGGGCACAGGAGCCTGAGGTGCCCCTGACAGACCCGTGGTGCCCTTGGTAGGTCTGTGGTGCCCCTGGACCCTGGCAGGCCTGTGGTGCCTCTGGCGGGCCTAGGGTGCCTCTGCTAGGCTGCTGATGCCCCTGGGACCTGACAGGACTGTGGTGCCCCTGACAAGCCTAAAGTGCCCCCAACAGGCCCGTGATGCCCCCGACAGGCCCAAGGTGCCCCTGCGTGATGCCGTGATGCCTGCGAGGTCGGTGGTGCCCATGCGAGGTCGGTGGGGCCCCTGACAGGCCCATGGTGCCCCTGCGAGGCCGGTGGTGCCCCTGCTAGACCGGTGGTGCCCCTGGCAGGCCTGTGGTGCCCCTGCTAGGCCGCTGGTGCCCCTGGGCCCTGACAGGACTGTGGTGCCCCTGACAGGCCCAAGGTGCCCCTGTAAGGCCTGTGGTACACCTGCTAGGCCTCTGGTGCCCCTGACAGGCCCATGGTGCCCCTGCAAGGCCGGCGGCGCCCCTGACAGGTCTCTGGTGTTCCTGACAGACCTGGGGTGCCCCTGACAAGCCTAGCCTGTGGGGCCCCTCACAGGCCCGTGGTGCCCTTGTTAGGCCTGTGGTGCCCCTGGCGGGCTGGTAGTGCCCCTGCTAGGCCGGCGGTGCCCCTGACAGGCCTGTGGTGCCCCCGGGCACCAAGGGGGGTCATGACCCATGTGGCCCCCCTTGGATCTGCCACTGGTACATATTATATTGATTTGTAATGGCGTTATGGCTTATGCAATATGCAATTGCAGGCACTTGGTATCCCTCACTTATCCCTCATTGGGGGCTCTGGCGGGCTCCTGAGGGCCCACGTCTATCTCCGGGAGCCCTAGACAGGCTCCTTTGGGTCCTTTCAGTCCACTATAGCATAAGAGGTCTCCATGCAAGTCCTATACATCTGAGGACGTACCCTGACGTCTGAGGTACTCAACTGCAGCTCCAATGGTCTCTTACACTGGCGGATCCAGGGAGGGGGCATTTAGGGCCATGCCCCCTTCCCAGAGGCCTAAAGTGGCCCGTTTGCCCCCTCCCCCAAGCGATAATGAAGCACAGTTCAATCAGTGCCTGGCCCAGGAGCCGAGTTAGACCACCTCCCGTTTTACCACCTCCCGGCCCGCAAAGGGACCCAAGCACTGACTCGAAGCGGGTTAACTGGTCGACAAAAGCAATACTAAGTGTTTACAAAGTAATATAAAGGCATGGGTCGGGTGGGCTACCATTTATATATTTTTATTTTTAGTTAAAAAAAAATATTCATAGTGTCAGGGCTGTGACGAAAAATAAGTGGCCTAAATCCGATGAGAAAACAGGATTTGGGGGTACCCTAGGTTTGGCTCCTGCATGAGTTGGCCCCCCCCCCAAAACGCAAGTCTGGATCCGCCAGTGCGCGCTCCTTACCGCTGATTATATTAGATTCGCGTCAAATTCGGTGAGAAGACTGAGAAATGTAGAGGCAATCATATGGTCAAAGAATTTTGAAAATCGGCCGGTAGCAACTTGAGTTATGAGTGTGTAAACACAAAATTGTGATTGCCGCGTTTCGCGCGTCGGCCGATCCCGCTTCAGCCGGCGACATCCTACCCTTAGCAGGCTTCTAACTGCCATATTTATTGCTGGATTATCTAGAAATTCACCAGACATACTTACAAATGTTTGTTCTTTCGTATAGTAAAGAAAAAATAAAATCGGCCGGTAACTTTTTGAGTTATCGGCGTGTAAACGCAAAAAAAGTCGCTCATATGGCAGATTTGACCACATTTGACCTCATTTGACCTTAAAGATATTGACCTAGGGTCATGAAATTCACACACAACAGTGTTTCTCATGGCTCCCACCTACCCTCCAAATTTCGTCTTTCTAGCTTCAGTGGGAGCTGAGATCTTACGGGGGGGGGGCGACATCCGCGCCCCCCTTCCACTGGGCGTAGTACTCGCAACCCTTCCACCGCGCGTGTTAAGTTTGGTGCTTCTGGGTGCTAACGTCTGCCTGTTAGCAGATCTAAGTTGTTTTCTACCTTTTTTGCAATATATCAAAGCGACAGTCAGTAGGATGTGAGGCTCAGCAGGCTATTATAAGCAATCAAAATTAATAGGCAACGAGACCTATTTTTTCTACGTTTTCTAGATTCGCCTGAGGAAGTGCAATGTGTGTAGGTGTTCGCCTCATGTCAGAAGCTACAAGCCTACAACCTAACGCAGAGTAGACATGGTATGCCGTGATGAAGGTGGATTTTGCTGATGCTTTCGCTTTCAATGCTTATGGCATGATATAACTCGCTGAAGAGTCATTTAATTCACGATATTATTTTTATATATTAAGAGATTCAAGTCAGCTATTGACAAAACGTTTATTTTCAGTTCAGGGTCAACTGAGACATGGAAACACATTTTGTAAGTGGGATTAACATGAAAAACACGAAAATGCCCTCCTTTCTGACAGCACAGCAGAACAGGGCCAAAGACATGGCGAGGTCCGGTCGCCATCTTCTTCGATCTTCGTTCTTAAGTCTTGAGTGAGCAGTTTACATATCACTGTCCTCCTCCAGCATGGCGGAGGTGATGATGGTCTGGAAGCTCTCCTCGTCGTCCACGTTCATGCCGTCCTTCATCAGCTCCGGCAGGTACTGCTCGCGGAAGTCCTTCTTCATGCACGCCTCGATCTTGGCCATCTGTTGGCAAACCAGAGCACAATCTCAGCAAGGATTCAGGATACACCGACTCACATGATTGTCGTTTGCGAAACATGTGCGCCGTTACTTTCACTTATTGGGTTGAACGTTATAATGTTACTATCGTAATCACGCTTTCACGTATCACTAAAGCTAAATAAGCGAAATCAGTGTTTATGGTGAACAGATATAGGCACTGACCTTCAGGCACTTGATGAAGGCGACCTGCTTTCCAAAGCCGGCGGCGATCGGAGTCTTGGCGAAGAAGGACTCG